AGCGGCTGAAGTAGGGCTGCAGGTTCGGGTGGTCACTGCTGCACTCGTAGCAGCGGCCCTGGAAGCCGCGGTCCTCGTAGAAGGTGATCTGCAAAGGAAGAGTGATTCCCAGTTAAAGCAGTGGCTCCCAACAGATCTGGCAGAGAGGTGTTTTTCTTTTTTTCTTTTTACTTAACTCGCATCCCGCTCACCTTCCCCATGGCTGGTTGACACCGGTGTGCGAGTTCAGTGTGATGGGCCGGCAGCGCCGCGGGTCTATATAGCAGGAGGGCTGCTGTGTTGGCAAGAACAACACAAAAGGGGCCCCAGGCGGTGAGTAAGGGGATTTTATGGATCCCTTTTACGTGCTGCATTCAGTGGAAATGCCTGTGGAGTTTGCCCTCATTCTCTGGTATATTCTAACGCTGTTCTGGATGCATCCTAGTTGAGTCCCCAGACTTGCTTTTATTTGGGTTCTTCGTGTTTTCTAAATTTATCAGCACATCAGTCTGAACTGTTGACCCGAAATTCATGTCTCTACAGATATGATTCCATTCTGCTCCGTGTATTTTCTGGGGGGAAATCTATGCCTTTATAGAAGTGCTCCCCAGTTCCAGGGGCTGTCTGTGATGTAGAATACCACAAACACTTGATGGCAGAGGTCACTGTAACTTAATTTTTTTTTCTTTATACGATTTGCCAGTCTAGTGCAGGACACAGATCTGGATTCTGATCTTTGCTAGTTTTGATTGTGGTGACCTGAGGCTTTAAGACACAGCAGCAGCTGACTCCTCGTTTGGTGGGTCTGTCTCATGTACTAGAAATCAGCCCTGCAAGTCAGCTTGTGATAAGAACCAAGGGGAAAATTTCTCTGGTCCTTGGGTCCCAAACTGAGAAATGTTTGCTTTTTTGGAGTGCTTTCCCTTTCCAGGGAGGCAGTAAAGCTTCATAAACTCAGAATGTCCACTTAGCAGCCACATGAACTTGGCAAGCCACATAGCCTCCCAGAGCCTGAGTTATTTCATAGTACTTATATCGTGGGATATAGTAAATTGAAAAAGAAAGAAGGAAAAAAAACAAAGAGAGGTATTTGCATTCAGAAGCTGGCCTGGCATTCAGAGCTAAGCCATGTTACTCCTCTGTTAGACATAAACAATTTCCCAGAATACCAACTTTAGGCAAGGTTACTCTGAGACTCTGACGCAATGAGACAAAATAGGGCCACTTCATAATTTTGTCTAAGCACAAGCAAAAACAAAGTTACCGTGTCACCCACACAGTACCAAACACCCCCTCTCTCAGCCCAGATGATTAGCTGCTCCTTCTTTATCAGCTGCAGCTTTATCCTTCTAGGCTCCCCTCCCCAGGAGTAGATTTATTGAGATATCCAATCATAAAATTACCCCCCTGTTCCGACAACATCCAATTTAGAGTGAAGCCCTGCTCTTTTAGGCTCTTCTCCAAGTCACCGAACCAAAGTACAAATCCTATAACAATATCCTTTGCTAACACCCTTTGCTGAGACTCCCCACTCTTCCTCTTAACAAGTAGCACCATAGCGTTAGCCAACACCCAACTTGCTTTGTGACAGGTGTTCGGGTGGTCTTTGGCTGAAGGACATTGACATGAGTCAATGGATTAGGTGTATAATGTGTTTGGCATATACTTGGCATAAATGAGCATTAAGTAAATGCTCGGTGTTAGTAATAGTGTGACACTGCTAAGGATGAGGTCAGCCTATTTATCTCTCTCAAACAGTCAGTCCTCTCAGAGATGCTTGAAAAATTTCTCTGCTATGAAGCCATTTTTCGGTTAAAAAAAAAAAGTAGATGTGGAGGGTACTTTAGAAATCATGTAGTGGCTTTCAAACTCTAGTGTGCGTAAAGACTCACCTGTGCTTGTTAAAATTGCAGATTGCCAGGTCCTACCCTCTCTCAAGATTAGATGCGGGAAAGACTCCAGGAATCTGTAATTCTAACCAGCACTAGATCATTCTTGGATCAAACTTTAAAAAACACTAGTCTGGTTTCCTCTTTTTTTTTTTTTTCTTTTGGTAAGGAAAGCATGGTTTAGGCATCCCCAGCTAATGTTTTATTAGCACTTACACATTATTTTCCTTAAACATGCAGGCAGAAGAACTCTCTGCTTTGTTCTACAAAGTTTTATATGCACATAATGAGAGAATCAAAGCAGAAATACCAGCACTTAAATGATAGTGCTGATTAGACAGGAAAAGAGGCGAAGGGCTCAGAAAATGCAGAGTACTAAACTTTAGTCTTGTTTTTTTCCAGATCTTTCTCTTTCTCTCCTGGGGCGCCTGTGTTCCCTTTCTTTACCTACCTCCCCAATCTCCCCTCCCCATCACCCTCCCCTCCAGCTGCCTTGCTTGGACTTTCATCATATCTCAGCTGGACTGTCCACAGTCTCCGGACTCTGTCTAATCTTGCCTTCTTCCAAACTGCATTCTGCCAGCATGCCAGGGTGAGCAGAATCAGAACACATCAAGTCATGTCACTGCTCTGGACTGAATGTCTGTGTCCCTTCCAAACTCATATGTTGAAACCCTTATCCCCACTGTCATGATGTCTGGAGATGGGGCCTTGAGAGATAACTAGGTCCTGAGGGTGGAGACATCATGATAGGACTAGTGTCCTTAGACACTGGAAGAGATGGGAAAGAGTTTGCTTCCTGTCTCTGGGTGAGGGCACAATGAGAAGACAGTCTGCAAACAAGGAAGCTGGCCCTCACCAGACACTGGATCTACTGGCACCCTCATCTCTGACTTCCCCAGCCTCCAGAACTGTGGGGAAGAAATATTTGTTTGAGTCATCCAGTCCATGGTATTTTTGTTATAGCAGCCTGAACTAAGGCGGCCACTCATCTGCTTGAAACCCTTCACTGGCTCCCATTGCCTCCAGAATCAAGTACTGGTTCCTTAGGATGGCACACTTGACCTGAGATCCTCTGTCTTCAGACTTCCCGACGGATCACACTGAATCACTTGTTTCCCAATGCACGATGTTATTTTTTTTATAATTTTTTTTACATGTTTTATTTATTTATTCATGAAAGTCAGAGAGAGAGAGGCAGAGGCAGAGGCAGAGGCAGAGGGAGAAGCAGGCTCCCCGCCTAGCAGGGAGCCCGATGTGGGACTCGATCCCAGAACCCTGGGATCATGACCTGAGCCGAAGGCAGACGCCCAACCATCTGAGCCACCCAGGCGCCCCTGCACGATGTTATTTTCACATTTCTCGTTTACCCCCCAGTTTTACTGAGATATAATTGAAATATTACATTGTGTAAGTTTAAGGTCTACAACATATAGATTTGATATATTTATATATTGCAAGGTGATTAGCACCATAGCGTTAGCCAACACCTGCATCACCTCACATAATTAATATCTGTGTGTGTGTGGGAACATTTAAGATCTACTCTCTTAGCAAATTTCGAGTATATAATACAGTATTATTACCTATGAACACGATGCTGTACATTGGATACCCAGAACCGATTCATTTTATGGCTGGAAGTTTATGCTATCCTTCTCTTGTTTTTTAATATACTGATCCTTCTCACTGAGATATCAGTTCTGCATTTTTCACCCAGAGTGAGGTTCATCTCAGGTATCAGTTCCTCTGTAAAGATCTTCTTGAACCTCTCCTAATCTTCCAGGCTGAATTTAATACTGCCAATTTGGTTCTATCAAGCATCTTGCGCATACCACTGTAATGGTAATTATTACGTATCTAATTATTTTGTTTAGACATCAGTTCCTTAAAATAAATGAGGGCAGCCCCTTTCTGGGCAGGAACTAGTCCATCTTTATTTTTGTATTCCCACTAAGTGGCAAAATGAACTGGCACATAAAGGCTACTCAGTAAATGCCTGGAGGATATGAATGTTACTCCCTAGTCTGAAATCCATTGTTGTAATAGTCCATGGGACCTATTTTGCATGCTCAGCACAACCGGCATACACAGTCGCATCAAAGTTCCGTATTTGCAGCTTTCAATGTGTAGGATGACACAAGCGTTCTGCGTTTGATCTATTTCATGGGCCTTTATAACAGGGGAGATGAGTAAGCAAAAGAGAGAAAACAGGCCTGTTGTGTTCTCCCCCAAACCTTCTGTTCCTTGGTAATTCTGTCAAATTTTTGCGTTTCCTGAGATGCCAAATTAATACTATAACAGCAGTGGCCAATTCCGGAGCGTTCCCAGTGCCTCAGGTCCAGGCAGCAGTTGCCCTTAACACCCGCCTTCCTGCTTCCTAGTAACTAATGTAGCTTTTGTATCATCCACAGGCTCCATTAAATGAGATAAGGTCATTTGGTTGGCAGCTACATAGACCGAAGTATCCCAAACAAGGAGGCTGGGTGAGACACCGAGGATCACCATCGTGGCACCAGCCTCTGGTTCTCTTTCTCAGCTTGTGTTTGGTGACTGACCAATAGATGACAAGAATATAGGGAGGGGGCAACCAGTGATCTACCTCTGCTTAACTCCTGTGGCATCCCATTCGGATCAAATTGGCTCTTGTGTGAAAAGCAGAACATCGCTTCTCGTTTAAGCAACAGGTGGTTGTGATTGTCGTTTTTGCTTTAACAAACCCACAAGAAGCTTTGAACCCCTAAAGTCTGGGAGGGAGGGAATAAGACAATAGCAACATCAGGACCTAACGCCGTGGCGGCAAGGCAGGATAACTGGAGAGGGAGGCCACAATGAGGAGCACCCTTTGAGCATGTAACACAATATAGCAGTTCGTGGCGCTTCTTTATGGAATGACTTCAGTTTCTTTGCTTGGTGGGTCTTATATAGGCTAGATTGACCAGAAGAAACTATAGGTTGAAAGGGAGAAAAGAGGGATAAAGGGAAGAAAAAGGTTTAGAATCTGGTGCTCATTTTGGCAGCATGCATTCTAAAATAAGAGTGATACAGAGGAGATTTAGCATGGCCCCTGCACAAGGATGACATGTAAATTCTTGAAGCAGTCCATATTAAAAAAACACAAAAGATTTAAAATCTGGACTTATTATGAAGTAGGATGTACAGGAAATACTGGTGTCTATAACATGTGTAGGCTGACCCTGGGCTTATCTTGACTTGTTTTTTCATCTTCATGGGGAAAAGGTTAGGAGGAATCCTGTAGGGTACCCCTTCTCCCATTCCTCTCTTGGAGGCGGCTTCCATCTCAGACCTTTTCACCTCTTTGAGGTTCCAGCAGGTACTTTTGAGAGAAGAGGGAGGGAAGGAGGAAGCATAGGTGAGGAGTTAGTTTGGTCGTATTCCCCCTCTGTTGATTGTTTTTAATGCTGGGATTAGAGAGAGGATATCATTTTCTTTGCCTGTTCCCCAGGCATGGAAACACAATTTTCTTTCTTTCTTTCTTTCTTTTTTTTAAATAATTTATTTATTTATTTGACACAGAGAGAGAGAGACAGAGCAGAAGCAGGGGGAGAGGGAGTAGGAGAAGCAGGCTCCCCGCTGAGCAGGGAGCCTGATGCGGGACACCATCCCAGGACCCTAGGATCATGACGTGGGCAGAAGGCAGACGCTTAACCAACTGAGCCACCCAGGCGCCCCTGGAAACAGTTTTCAAGAACAGAAACTTGATCAGTGGCATCCAGGATCTCTAATCTTATGTGCTTTGGGTTCAAGTGTTTCAGGATCATTTCCATGTCTGAAGTCTGTGATTTCATGCCTACCAAGCAAATAAAGTAAAATTCAGCACTGCAAGAAGCTTTTGGCTTTCCAGTTTATGTCTGATATGTTACTATTGGCAAACGGAAAACTCTGGCTAATGTCTCCAGGAAGCCAACACTACTGTTGGGAGTTTAAAGGTTGAAGAACTGGGATTTAGGAATAATTAATACCAAATAATTCAAGAATCTGACTATTTTCCAGGGAAAGAACTCTTATAGATAGCTTAACCATGTGCAACCAGTTAGCCTTGAACACTCCTGGTTCATTCCTCTTGTCCTGATGTAATCTCTAATAGCACATGCTTTCGCTCTCAAAAGTGACTCAGGTTAAGCAACAAATTAGATGCTCGTTCTGTTCACAAGTCACGTGGATGGTAGATTGGAGCCCTGGAAAGCCTGGGATGGAAGGAGACTATAAAAATTAAATAGCCATGTGGGTACAGCTAAGAACAGAGGAGAGAGGAGCAAGAATGAGAAAGAAGACCAGGCCACCCAGCAGCAGGTTGGAGCTTGCAGACTGTTTAGAGCATAGTCATGTAGTATTAAATTTGATATTGTTGTACTGCTGTGATCTAAACTCCTCCCACAATCTCTATAATGAAGCTGGCTGCACGCATGAATGCTTTATGTGAGAGATGGTTCAGGAGCTCCAGGAAAAGGAGCTATGTCTCCCACCTGAGTTGGTGAGACGCATGGGGTGGGTCACATGGGGGAGGACAAGATGACTCATCCAATGACAAGGCAGGAATTCAGAGTGGAGGGTGACTGGGGAAAGCATAAATTACTCATTCCCTTTCCAGAATCACAAGAGACATGGAGTATGTATGTGTCAGAGAATGTGGGTACACAAGTCTCCCGCTCCATGTGAGATGACATTTAAGCCATTTCATTAGAATCTCAAAGAATGGGGTACTTTAGATGGCTTTTGACCTGAAACCATCAGCTTCATTTTCAAACTTTGTAAGAAACAGACCAAAGAACCATATTTAATTACTGCGTGCTATTAGGGATGTTGTTTGCTCAGTACCCTTTTTACTAGGACCTACATGAAGACTTTCTTTGAGGTTTCAGTTCTGGGAGCAGTTAGGCTAGTCTTGGATAATTAATTTATTTGTCTCATGGACTCTCTTAGTCATGGAACTGATCTTGATTCCCCTCTGTCCTGGCTGCTGGATTCAAATCTGGCTTTACCTACAACAAACAAAGTGCCTTATAACATGGGACTTGGACTCGAACTTTGCTCCTGGAAGATAAACATCCCCAAAGGAAACACATATACAGTCAAACAAACTTCTCCAGAAAATGTCAATTCCTTGTTCTCTATTTAGTATTGCTTTCCAGGTATAGTCATAATTCTTTACTTCCTATTAAAGAGATAGGAGCCTGAGTTTCCCTATGTGCATATGGTTTTTGGTAGAAATCCTGAAATTCTTCTATAAAAGAGAAAGTGAATCCTATTTGGACGGAAAATCTCCTGGAGGAATGAGGTATTGACATGGAATTGGCAACCGTTAGAAGGATAAAGAATGCAAGAGTGGAGGGTGACCGGTTTGTTCGTTTGTTTTTGAAGCTAAAGGAAGGGTCTAGATGCTGAGATGACTTTCCTCATTAGGTAGGATTTGGACTATATAGAAAAGATGGTGGAGATAAGCTACAAGGATAACTTGAGATGTTACAATAAGTACTAATTTAACATTGTAGCTGCAAATTTATGCTTTTAAGACTAACCATAAATGTCTTTAGCCCAACTGAATTGAACCTTGAGTCTACATGGTTTAGTCTTTAAAAGAATGCTGGCAGTGATATCCTTTACTTTGTCCCTCTTATAAGACATCATTTCCCATCATGAAAATGTTTGTCGTTATGTTGGGCTAAGTGCCATTATTGCTTACGAAGGCTTAATAGATTAAAAAAAAAGCAGGACTCTGTAGTGCAAGAAACACAAGCTAAATATTTTATTGGATTCTAAAAGAGAAAAGTGGAGAACATAAATACTTTAGTAAAAATCCATTACTCGTCTGAAAGAACCAACTTTGGCATTCATGGCCCCCCAGTCAAGGTATCTCCTATACTCCCCGGGCCTCAGGAGGTACTGCCTTCCCCTGTAGCTGGGCATCTCATAAAGGACCCAGCAGCCCTCCAGCACATTGAGGGAGTGGATTTCATTGAGATGGAAGCGGTCCTGAAGAGAGAGACAATCATCTGTGATCTCTGACATTTGTCCTCTGAAGTCATCTCGCTCGTAGATCCTCATTCTGAACGTGCCGGCGTGCTGAGGGGACAGACAGAAAAGAAAAGATAAATGAACACAAATGGAGAGAAATTAAAGTTCTAGCCCCTACATCTCCCTGGCCCCACCAGCCCAGAAGTTCCTGGAGTCTGGGTTTGCTTCCAGAACAATCACATTGCAGTGTTAAAGAGCCTTCCTGCCTCCATTACCCCCACCCTTCTGGGCCTCTAATGATTTCTAGGCAATGCTAGGGACAGACCTTGGCAGCCCTTCAGTGCTATCCACCCGGCTCTGTCCTTGGCAGCCAAGGTTGGTCTCAAATAAAATTGATCATGTTTTTAGAGAAGGTCCTTCTCGAAAGAGGAAAGTGTAAGTCATCAGAAAGCAAAGTCCCATTTGATATAGTACTCTGGTTAAAAAGGAATCAACATTTGGCTATTTTCTCTAAGACCAATGTTTTGGTTTTGCGTACACCATAGAACATAAGATTATTGAGCTCTTGTAAAAAAGAAGATGACACATTTTCTTTGTCTCTGTTTTTATTGCCTCGGTGTCACTTCAGATTTCAACCTATCTGACCTTTAAGCTTCCTTTCTGGTCTAGTCGCTTACCATCTTCATTTCCCTCAGCAGCAAAAATCATCTCCATTGAGCTCTGTTTGGATGACACTCTACCCCATGCCTCCCACACTCCAGCACATTCTTCTGAGAACTGGGCAAATTACTCTCTAGGAAATACTGATTCTCAAACTTTCATTTTGGAGTTGGCCTTTCCTCTAATATATACCTGTAAGTGAGCTAATAGATAACTGACCATGAAATTAGAATAAAAACCAGAAGACAATAGAAAAGTGAGCCAAAGCAAGCAAGCGTATTTTTATCAATTAAGTAGACCCAGATTGTATCTAGAAGTTTTGATATATTATTTCTGAGTGGGTACCACTTGGAATGATGACTTCAGTAAGCTCTATCTTAAACACATGGCAACTTCTGCTTTCCCTCTGTCCTGCTTTTTCTCAATTAGTCTTTGGCTTTTTAATTTTTGTAGTTACATTTTAAAATACAAACATCTGGGAGCATGTGAGTAAAAATGCAAGCACCACAGAGCTCATGAAGAATGGCTTCCCATCTGAGACCTCCTTCTGGAATGGACTGCAGGCTGTAGGCTCAGTCTCAGTTTTCTGCTCTCTGGTTGGAATGATTTGGTGGAAGGATGATATCTGTTCATGGCTTTCACTTCCGAAGAGACCAGAGACGAGGTCAGAGGCACACTCACCTGGGGGATGAGG